TCCTGCAAGACCAGGACCCACATTACTAAATTTCACAAACAAATGAGTAACGTAGTTGCTCCAAACAGTAACAAAACCTAAGAGTTACAGAGACTAGTTTTTCCCCCTATTTTGACCACACTGGACCAACACCTATCCCCATTTAAAAACAGGATAATTACAGATAATACCACAGACCACACCCCCTTTCCTCATAAAACTCTTGGTAAATTACCCCAACATACTAAAGTCCTTCAACTTCCCAAAAGAGGGAGCCCTTTAAAAATTTTCCCAAAAGCATACAAACATTGACTGGCACATGAGCTAGAAAAACAATACAGATATTGACGAAAAGATAAAATTTTTTAAAAAAAAACCCAAACCCCTATAACAAGCACTGCCTAAAAAAAATAAGCAATGACAGCTAAGGATGAACATCCCCGGCAACACCCAGCATTCTCAAATCCTAAATACAAAACACCCAAAATGAAAAAAAAGTCAGAAAGGGTACATAACCAGAGACCAAACAAAAAAGTTACTCTCAACCTAAACCCGCCCGTAAGAAGGGGAAAAAAATTGTATTATGAGAAAAAGATTTTCCAACTTCGAGGTTATAAAAAAAAAAACCCGGAAAACCCCCTCAGAAATTCTGGGAACAAAAAAAAAATATCACGAAATAGCGAAATAAAAATTTGCCCAAATCAGATGAACCCCAAATCCCCCCCAAAAGAAACAGCAAACAGACTCAAAATTTCTTCTCCTATGGCAAAACCTTGCCCAAAAAAATCCCAACTCAGATACCCCCCCAAATGACTACCTCCCGGCAAATACCCAACAACCCGTTCCTGCTCCCACTAACCCATACAAAGTTCCCTTTTTATCAACGACAAAAAACAAGGGAGGAGATTTAAATACCTTCCCCCCTTTTTAAAACAAAAAAATGTCCAAGTCTATCACCAATTTGCAACACTCTTTAACAAATCCATTGAATCCTCCCCCTTCCCTACAGTACTCAAAATAGCAAGGGTCACCCCCACCAAAAGGAGGAGACCAAACAGATTGAAAAACTTAGGCCAATATCCCAAATTACACCCCCTCCAAAAAACTTCGAAAAATTTAATTTTAAACGAATCTACTCCTACCTTATCTCCCAAAAAAATACTCAACCCCCCCAATTTGGATTTGGCCCAAAAAAAAATCTAATGTGCATTATACACATGCTAGAAATTATACACTGCAAAGAGAAAAAAAAAAGTCCCACTGGGGGTCTTTTATTGACTTTGAAACTTTTGATTTCAGTTGACCATGTTTTCCCGTAAAATTGTCCCCACTTGGTATAAGAGGGCACTCCCCCAATACCCTCAAGTCATACCTCAGCAACAAAAAAATTTTAAAAAACCCCCCCAAAAATTTTTAAGTTGGTTCCAAGGGGGAAAATTCCCTTGGGGCCCCCTTTCTTTTCCCACAAAATGCCTACCAAATGCTTCGCAAATTTCCAAAACCACACTATTTTTCTGTGACCAACTAGTCTTTTCCCCCCCGAGCCCAGCCGCTAGCCAAAACTGTAAATACCCAATTACAGAAAATATTACTGGATGGTATAACAAACTTACACTAAAATTGACAAAAAAACCTACCATTTAGTTTTGGTAACAGGCTACAGATGTCCCTTTAAAAAATAAGTAAAAACGGGGATCACCTATCCAAAGCAACAGGGGAAAAACTTAGGAATCCCCCTTGATAATAGACTCAAATTTCATACACAATACAACAAATTTCTAAAAAATTTCCAAGTGTAGGCATACTATCAAGATCGGGACAGCTCCCCATCAGCCCCCCTGGGCCCCATTCACCTCTATTTACCCCCACTCACCTATGGAAATTTTTGCATGGGGTCAAAACAATAACCCTCTGAGACCATAATTACCCAACAAAGGCGCAGTTAGAATGATAACAAATTCTCACTACAGGCAGCACACTCCACCAATATTCAATACACTCAACCTACTCACCATACAAAACATCCATACTTATTACTGCACCTATTACATACATAGAACACTCAACTCGATTTTACCCTCCCCTCAAACATCTCCTTGCAACCTCAACAGAACACATGACCATAACACAAGCACAGATCACTCTTTGATATTCCCTGTGTCCATCTCCCTATGCAAAATCAATGCACATAAAAGGCCCTAAAATCTGGAATTCATTACCTGTAAATATAAAAGAAACACTACCTGTTTATAAATTCAAGTCTCTTCCCCAAAGATCACTTACTCACCCAAAACCAAATAAATACTGATAACTGAACCTTATAAATTGTATATCTTAAATGTTTCTCACAATTATATCACATAAATGTTAAACCTAAAACCCAATCTAACTTTATTATTTTTTAAATACACTACCTAAACAGAATACTCCAATTCTACTGAATTTTACAACAATGCATGCAAAACCAAATGACCTGTCTTTGTAAATACTCACTTGTGCTTTATAGTAATCAGTTTACATTAATGTTTTTCATGATTCATCATTTGCTTAGTTAATCTTAATTAATTTTAAGCCACCCCGTAATGCTATGCATAGTATAAGTGGCTTTGGCAAAGCTGCTCTTATCTGTATTTTTTTTGTACCCTCTATATGTGTGCTCAAATTATAAATAAATAAATAAATAAATAAATAAATAAATAAACATTGCATGTTTTCATATATTGTAGGTAGTAGGTTGGTAGACAGCAACCGCCCAGGGAGGTACTATCGTCCTGCCAAGTGAGTGTAAAACGGAAACCTGTAATTGTTTTACACAATGGTAGGATTGCTGGTGTCTTTTTTCTGTCTCATAAACATGCAAGATTTCAGGTACATCTTGCTACTTCTACTTACACTTAAGTCACACTACACATACATGTACAAGCATATATATATACACACCCCTCTGAGTTCTCTTCTATTTTCTTTCTAGTTCTTGGTCTTGTTTATTTCCTCTTATCTCCATGGGGAAGTGGAGCAGAATTCTTCCTCCGTAAGCCATGCATGTTGTAAGAGGCGACTAAAATGCCGGGAGCAAGGGGCTACTAACCCCTTCTCCTGTATAAATTACTAAATTTAAAAAGGGAAACTTTCGTTTTTCTTTTTGGGCCACCCTGCCTCGGTGGGATACGGTCGGTTTGTTGAAAGAAGAAGAAGAAGTTTTCATATATTATGTAACGTGTTTCTTTCGGCCCATGGTTGCTTATTTTGCAGTTGTACTCAATCAATAACCACAAAAAACAATGGATTATAGGAAAATGTTTGGATGAATGAGCAAAAGCTTCCTCACTTGCCCAGAGACAAAGCCAAACTGATTTGCAAGCGGCCCTAGCCGGCGGATGGACGCCTCCCAAATGGCCAATAACTGAATTAATGGCCGATAACCAGGCGCTGAAAAAACGGTCGATAACCGAGTTGGCCGATAACTGAACCAGCCAATAACCGGGGGTCCACTGTACTAAAATGCACTGTTCCATAACTTGAGCCAATATAGAGTAAGAATTAAGATTAGTCTGCCCAAAATGCCTAGGCATGCTAGTGGTTTTCTTTGTAATTAATATTTTAAAATATGTAAACCACATATTGTAAGCGTTCTTTCTTTTCTTTCAACGCACTGGCCGTATCCCACCGAGGCAGGGTGACCCAAAAAGAAAAACGAAAGCTTCTCCTTTTACATTTAGTAATGTACACAAGAGAAGGGATTACTAGCCCCTTGCTCCCGGCAGTTTAGTCGACATTGTAAGCGTTGCAAGAAAATAAACATTTTCATTTTCACTAATAAGACACTTTTAGTGTTTTAATGTGTACCTGCATGCCAGCAGTGTGTGTAAGTTTATTTAGGTACAGGCACACATAAGTATAATTATCAGAGTATAGTGGTACCTTGACTTATGAGTTTAATTCGTTCCGTGACCGAGCTCATAACTGAAATCAATTTTCCTCATTGAAATTAACTGAAATGCGATTAATCCGTTCCAGCGGAATTCCTGGCTCTTGGGAGGCAGGAGAAAATACTTCAATATAACACTAATATCAACTCTACAACTTATTTATCTATCACAATTGATCTAATATGACATAATAAACAATATAAATAACACAGAAACATGATATATACTCTAGAAAGAATAAAATATGTCACTATGTGAAGAGTGATGGCAGCCACTCCCAAGGTAAAAATAAGTGCTCTGACCATATCTTCCCATTCTTGCCCTTCTGAGGTCTTATTATAAGAGAAAACAGTGTGTTTATGAGGCTAACTGCACTAGATCACTAGTTTCATAAGGAAAACACTGAAACAAAAGTGATTTTCTCGTGTTTTTCTACGATTTCATGCTATAATTCAATGGACATCATCCTCCTCTTCTTCTCAGCACTGTCCTTTGCACTTACTTTCTTAGGACCCATAATTAGAATAAAGAAATTTGGCAAAATAACTGCACAAAAAGCACAAAATGCTGAGATGCTGGGAAGATGTTGTGGTGTTTGCTGTGCCAACTAGTGGCGGCGTATCTGAAGCTCACTCGTAACTCGGATTTTGGCTTGCAACTCAAAGCAAAAAATTGACCGAAAATGGTTCGTAACTTGGAAAACTTGTAAGTTGGGGCACTCATAACTCAAGGTACTACTGTATATATAAAATATGAAATAACCTTACAACATTTGAAATGTTTCCAGACATAATGGAGAGATGTGGTCACAGAGAATACAAACAGGTGGTGCATGGTGACCATATTAGGAAGTCAGGTGGAGGGAGCTTCATAGTGAGTTTTGGTCATACAATTTGAAATGTTCATATTAGTGGAATGCCATGAAGCGAAATGCCGTAAAGCGGGCCCTACTGTACATACTGATGTGGGGTAAGCATTCATCTCTATAACAGTTAAATGATATAGGCTGATGATGGGGAAGATGACAAATACTGATGATCATGATGATTACAGCAATAATAATCATATCTTTCTAACATAAACATGACTTACCTGAGCATTACCCTTCAATGTCTGGAGTTGTTCAAAGGCATAAGAGGTGCTATAGAAGATGGCACTGAAGGAAGCAGACAGTAAACACAACACCACCATATTAACTACAAGACGTATAAAGTACAATCGGCATCTGTGAAGAAAACATTTTTATGATCAGTGAAATAATTTATATTAAAACTATTATGTTTGCATTATATAATTGTTATTAGTCAAATACTCAGTTTATTGCAACCAATTACCTTACTACAATACAGAAGAGGAAGCCTAAAGCTGAGAAAAATTTTGGTGGCACAGTTGACTAATACAAAACATAACAGAAGCTAAAGGTTTTAGGGGAAAATTTATTTTCCGAATGAAGATTGTACAGTAGGACCACCGTACCTGTGGGTCCAATTTCTGCAGTTTCAGTTATCCACAGTTTACCCTGGTTCAAAAATAACCTTTATTTTTGCTTAACCCCTTGAGGGGCCAGACCCCCAATCTGAAAAATGTTCACAGGGTCCAAGAATTTAAAAAAAAAAAAAAAAAAAATCTTATGAAATAGTATATAATTTTTTTCTGAAGGTAATAAAGCAAAAAGTACAAAATTTGATGGAAAAATTACGAAATTACACATATGCGAATTCTGCTGTGTCGACGATATTTATGCATCTGCGATTTTGCCCACTTTGACTCCTATTTTAGTCCAATTAGGTTGTTCCAGTCGACTAAATTCTTAGCTATTTCACTAGTATGCCTTCAATTTTATCAAGTGAGCACAAGAAACCATCCAATCAACTATTTCAACTACCCAATAAAGTGATCAGAAATTGGTAATTTGGCCAATTTCACACAAATTTCAAAATATTCCATTTTTAAATAGGGTCCAGAATAAACAATGCAGGCATTCCTGGTACTAAAATAACATTTCCTCTGTTAATTAGTTACATTTCCAGGCTTTACAGATGAATTTCATTTTAATTTTTTATTCACATAAAGAATTTTCAGTCATACCAAAAAAAAAAAAAAAAAAGATTCCCTGTTATGCAATACTGCAATAATTGTATAAATAATATCAGTTCATTCATGAATGCACAGTAGCCCCACCAGCTGATGTGTATTGGACACGTGATGTGATTTGTTTACTCTTGAACATGGGCAAAAATTGAACATTTCGGCTAATTTGAGCTAAATTTCAAGGTATTTTTATTCAAAAAAAAATCAAAATCATCTCTACTTCTGTAATTCTATCAAACGAGACTAAGAAACTGCGAATGCAACCATAAAAACCATACAAAAATACAACGCAAATTTACTGTTTTAATCCAAAAACATAGTTGTAGTTTTTTCTCATTATCCACTGTGTTCTGCAGGATTTTTTTATATGGTGCACACTTACCACATAGATCTATTCTCTCATATCTATGCAAAAATTTACCACTCACAGCTCATCTAAGTGAGCTGAGCTCATGACATAGAGCTACGGCACTGACCCTGGCTTCAAAGCTGTAGAACTATGGCACAGACCCTCAAGGGGTTAATAATGACACCAAAGTGCAAAAATAGTGATGGTGGCTGTTCTTCAAACCATAAGAAAAGTCGTGAAGTGCTTCTCATTGGTGAAAAAGTGCTAATTCTCGACTTATTGTAAGTATTTTATCAATTAAACTTTATCATAGGTCTTTCTCCTTCTTTCAATGTACCAGCCGTATCCCACCGAGGCAGGGTGGGCCAAAAGGAAAAACGAAAGTTTCTCCTTTTACATTTTGTAATATATACAGAAGGGGTTACTAGCCCCTTGCTCCTGGCATTTTAGTCACCTCTTATGACATCCATGACTTATGGAGGAAGAATTCTGTTCCACCTCCCCATGGAGATAAGTGGAAATAAACAAGAACTAGTAAGAAAAATAGAAGAAAACCCAGAAGGGTGTGTATATATATGCTTATACATGCATGTGTAGTGAGACCTAAATGTAAACAGAAGTAGCAAGACGTACCTGAAATCCTGCATGTTTATGAGACAGAAAAAAGACACCAGCAATCCTACCATCATGTAAAACAATTACAGGTTTTTGTTTTACACTCACCTGGCAGAAAAGTAGAACCTCCCTGGGTGTTTGCTCTCTACCAACCTACTGACTAGGTTTATTATAGGAATGTAAACGAAAAATTACTTAGATATAGGGTTCACCACTATCCATGGTTTTGAGTATCTACAGCATGTCTTGGGACGTATCCCCTTGCAGAAATGGGAGTCCTGCTATATATACTATCTAAGCAGGAATGTGACTCATCTGTTTCGATGTTTCAACAATTATTTACATAGATAATAAATGTTATCTGCGTTCATATTCTAAGTATGGGCACTCCAATGTTTTATAAACCATCTCCAGTAACATTTTATAAGTACACTCTACAGATGTGGATCATTTTCTCTAAATGAACATTCTTAACTTCTTGGGAATAAAAGGAAATCAGGTTTAGTCTGATGAAGGGAAGGGTAGATCCAATTCCTTTGATTAAGAGCCCTTCACTGGCATCAAGGCACCCCTCTCCCTTGAAGGGATATGTTTACAAATAATTTCTCTTACCTTTCTCTTTTTGTTCTTTGTTCCTTTTCATCATTATATCTCTCTGTCTCCAGGTGATCACAGAGTTCATTATATATTGCTTTCTTTTTTATTGATGCTGCTTTGTTATTCTCAATGCAGTAGTCCCAACCACCAAATATTAAATTGCAGTACTAGAATACAAACAAAAAAATATATATATTAACATTTTATATTACAGATCATATTAAAAGATAAAATGTCTAAAAAATAAAAAGGCAAAATGAATAAACTACTGTACTACCATCCTCCCCTCCCTCTCCTCTTTACCAAATTTTCATAAACAACCTGGAAATTCATAAATAAGGAAATGGTAAATTATACAAATAATACAATGAAGAATATAAAATTAAGCCAAAACTATAACCTTCATATGATCTGTCCTCGGGCACACTTGACGCAGCATCTGCAAGTCTCACCCTCTTTACTTACTCTCAACCAACACCAAATCATATGAATACACAGCAAATATCTCAATCTTTTAAATATACAGTGAAAAATTTTCAATATTACTGAAGAACTCTTTACTGATAATGAGCCAAGTTATAACTGTAGCATAAAAGATACAGGAGGAAAATCAGTAATCTTATCAGCTGCAACATGGAGCTGTACAAAAGTATGATGTTGCACAAAAGTGTAGAAGAGAGAAAACTTAGCTGGAGATGCACCATCACATCTGCCAGATGAATACTTGCAATTTATTCCTCACTTAAGCAAATAAGTTTATAATTAACACTACATTACTGCAAATTACTAAAGATTAAAGGAGTATGATACAGGCTGTAAAGGAACATAACTGTATCTCCTCCTCCTCCTCCTTCCTCACACCTTAATTTTACTTTTGTCATCAGTATAGTTTCTCTGATTTCTTATTCTGGAAGTGAATATGTTCAGATATTTGGTAGTAGATTAGTCAGCAGATGGGTTTATGAAGGATGGGGTTAACCATAGAACTGATGAAGGAAAACAGGTGAGTGGTTCATTGAGGTATCCGAGGAGACAAAAAATGTTATCCATGGAGGCAAAGAAGGGAATGTATGAGAGTATAGTGGGACCAGCACTCTTATATGGGCTGTGAATGCTGCAATGAGGAGGAAGCTGGAGGCAGTGGAGATGTCATGCCTAAGGGCAACATGTGGTGTAAATATCATGCAGAGAATTCGTAGTGTGGAAATTAGGAGGTATGGAGATACAAAAACTATTATTTAGAGGGCTGAAGAAGGGTCATTGAGGTGGTTTGGTCATTTGCTAAGCGTGTCCCTACTTACTGATGTTACTTAATTTTCCTTCAGCAGATTCTCTATAATTATTAACTGCTGGGATATCTTTTGTTTCCTTGTCTGAAGACTGACAGGATATAACTATAAAAAAAAAAAAAGAGAATGTTTCCTGCTCATTATTATTTGGCTGGTCAGATTTAATTTTAAGTGGTCCCAGTGTTAACCCGATCTTTGCCCAGTACACTTGAAACAATCCTTTCAGATTTGTCTTGGATTCACTTGCAACCTTAATTTCATGGCCTTTCTCAAATTTTCTCATTTCTTTTAATCTCAACATTAGTTGTTTAATATATTTATAGATGGGGTTGTAAAAGAAGTGAATGCTAGGGTGTTGGGAAGAGGGGTGGGATTAAATTATGGGGAATCAAATACAAAATGGGAATTGACACAGTTACTGTTTGCTGATGATACTGTGCTTATGGGAGATTCTATAGAAAAGTTGCAAAGGTTAGTGGATGAGTTTGGGAGTGTGTGTAAAGGTAGAAAGTTGAAAATGAACACAGAAAAGAGTAAGGTGATGAGGGTATCAAATGATTTAAATAAAGAAAAATTGGATATCAAATTGGAGAGGAGTATGGAAGAAGTGAATGTTTTCAGATATTTGGGAGTTGACGTGTCAGCGGATGGATGTATGAAGGATGACGTTAACCACAGAATTGATGAAGGAAAAAAGGTGAGTGGTGCATTGAGGTATATGTGGAGACAGAAAATATTATCTATGGAGGCAAAGAAGGAACTGCATTAAAGTATAGTGGTACCAACACTCCTATATGGGTGTGAAACTTGGGTTGTAAATGCTGCAGCAAGGAGGCAGTGGAGATGTCCTGTCTAAGGGCAATGTGTGTAAATATTATGCAGAGGATTCAATGTGTGGAAATTAGGAGACAGTGTGGAGTTAATAAAAGTATTAGTCAGAGGGCTGACGAGGGGTTGTTGAGGTGGTTTGGTCATTTAGAGAGAATGGATCAAAGTAGAATGACATGGAGAGTGTATAAATATGCAGGGAAAGGAAGGCGGGGTAGTGGTCGTCCTCAAAAAGTTTGGAGGGAGGGGGTAAAGGAGGTTTTGTGGGCAAGGGGCTTGGACCTCCAGCAAGCACGCTTGAGCGTGTTAGATAGGAGTGAATGGAGACGAATTGTATTTGGGACCTGAGGAGCTGTTGGAGTGTGAGCAGGGTAATATTTAGTGAAGGGATTCAGGGAAACCGGTTATTTTTAAATAGCTGGACTTGAGTACTGGAAATGGGAAGTACAATGCCTGCACTTTAAAGGAGGGGCTCGGGATACTGGCAGTTTGGAGGGATATGTTGTGTATCTTTATACGTATATGCTTTTAAACTGTTGTGTTCTGGGCACCTCTGCAAAAATGGTGATTATGTGTTGAATGATGATGAAAGTATTTTCTTTTTGGAATTTTTTTTTATTTTTGGGTCACCCTGCCTTGGTGGGAGACCGCCAACGTGTTAAAAAAGAATTAGTATGAACATACTAATCCAGTAGGTGATCCTCTCTTCTTTTCATGTGCATGTAAATATTCCTCTTCTTTTCATTTTAGATAATTTATTTTGGATCTAGTTTCTCTCTGGGAAACATAAGTGCAATAATTTGGGCAGGTTGAAGACTGTTTAAAAGACTGTTATATTGGCAACTGCCTTCATTATTGCTTGTAAAGATCTTTGTTTATAGAATCATTAGCCAGGTAACCCCACATAATATGCTCGACAGGTATTCCTATAGTCAACTATAATCTGGAGAGTGAAAAACTTGGACCTTCATTGAAATTATCCTTATTACCAAACTCCCAGTTAATATTAATGATGATAAATTTGTGATTACTTGTACCAAGGTCTTCTGTGATCTCTAGGAATCTTCTTTTCTTTCAACAAACCAGCCATATCCCACCAAAGCAGGGTGGCCCAAAAAGAAAAACAAAAGTTTCTCTTTTTAACTTAAGTAATGTACAGTATACAGGAGAAGGGCTTACTAGCCCCTTGCTCCCGGCATGTTAGTTGCCTCTTACGGCATGCATGACTTACAGAGGAAAAATTCCGTTCCACTTCCCCATGGAAAATCTCTATGAATATTTACCAATATTTACTAGGATCTCCATGTTCATTAACTCTTGAACTGTTCAAACGTAGATCTACGTTTACGTGCGTAGCACTCCAAAATTAGATCTACGTTTTTTTTTTACATAAGAAAGCATGTAAAATAGAAAGTTTGGAGTGCTACACATGTGAACGTAGATCTACGTTTAAACAGTTTAACCCTTTGACTGTTGCGAGCTCCACTATGAAACTCATTCTTTGTCGCAAAACTTTTGGAAAAAAAAAAAACATTTCTTATGAAATGACAGAGAATCTTTTCCCGATGGTAATGACACCAAAAGTACGAAATTTGGTCAAAAACTCACGGAATTATGCTCCCGCAAAGTTAAGAGGTCTCGGCGACATATACGCATAGGCGATTTCGCTGACTTTGAGCCCTGTTTTTGACCAGTTCCATTGTTTCAGCTGACAAAACTCATAGCTATTTCTTTAGAACTCCATTTTTTCTATCAGTTGAGTACAAGACACCATCCATTTACCGATTTGAACTACCCAATAAAGTGGTCAGAAATTGGCAATTTGGCCAATTTCACACAAAATAAAAAAGATGCCAGTTTCAAAATAGGGTCCAGAATAAACAATGCAGACATTCTTGGCACTAAAATAACATATCCTCTGTTCATTACTCACGTCTCTAGGCCCCTCTTATATTACTATTGCTTATTATTTTGATTGTTTATTCATTCAAAAAATACAAAATTTACCGTTACGCAGACTACTGCATTTTTGTAAAAATGGTATAAATAATATCAGTGCACTAGTGAAAGAATATCTGACTCCCCAGTTGACATGTATTGGACGTGTGGTGCGATTTGCTTACTCTTGAACATTGGTAAAAATCAAACATTTCCGCTACTTTGAGCTCAATTTCAAGGTCGTTTTCATCGAGAAAGTAATAAAAATCATCTCTATTTCTGTAATATGTTTTCCATTTTATCATGTGAGACCATGAAAATGAGAATACAATGATAAATACTATAAGAAAATACACCTCAAATTCGGTGTTTTAATCCAAAAAAATGGTCAGTTTTTTTTCTCATTATGCACTGTGTGCTGCAGGATTTTTTTTATGTGGTGCACACTGACCACACAGACCCATTCTCTCACATGTGGGCCCACCAGCTTTCTTCTGCTTCATTTGAAGCCGCTAGAATTTACGTGCTTAAATATGTTTGAAACAGTGGCACGCAAGACGTACAGTGGACACTCGCCTAACAATATTAATCCGTTCCTGAGAGCTCAGTGTTAAGCGAAATTATCGTTATGCGAATTAATTTGCCCCATAAGAAATAATGGAAATCAAATTAATCCGTTCCTGACACCCCAAAGTATGAAAAAAAAAAATTTTGCCACATGAAATATTGTTTTAATATACACAAACTGAAGAAGACATGTACAATTACATGACACTTACCTTTATTGAAGATTTGGTGATGATAGATGGGATGGGAGGAGGGGAGTGTGTGGATAGTGTTAATGTTTAGAAGGGGAATCCCTCTCCATTAGGACTTGAGGTGTCAAGTCCTTTTCTGGGGTTACTTCCCTTCTTCTTTTAATGCCACTAGGACCAGCTTGAGAGTCACTGGACCTGTCGCACAACATATCTGTCCATAGAGGCCTGTACCTCCCGTTCCTTTATGACATTCATAGTGTTTCACAACATTGTCAGTGTAATAGTCACCAGCACAGCTTGCAATAGCTGTGTGAGGGTGATTTTCATCAAAAGAGGTTTGCACTTTATGCCACA